CTTTCTGGAGCTCTGATAGGCGTGGGGGAGGGGAGGGGAGGGGGGGGTCATAAAAGGTAGGCCGGTGGGTTGGAGTGCTGCACTGAGACTGGGTTCCCCAACGTGGTGCCCGCCCCGCACCCTTCCTGGCGCCCCAAAGACACTTGGTTGTATCTAAAGCAACAAACAGTACAGGCATCAATTACAAATTGAGGCTAAAACAAGTTACTTTGTTCAAAGGTTTATTGAAGAATGTATCACTCTCTAAAGCTTACATTTTTATTTTTATCTTTTTTGTAATTAGTGTATTGGTTTGAATGTTTAACTGTTCTTATGACCTTTATGTACATTTTTATTGTTATATTTGGTTTATTGTTTTTACTCTACCAATAAAATGTTAATGACAAAAAAAAAAACACCAAAAAGTAAAAAAAAGAAGGGGGGGGGCTTTTGCCCTGCAGGGTCCTGACGACATTCGCGATCTCATCGGCTGTGCAGTTTTGTTTTGTTTTTCAGTTGCGTTTGGTAGCCGCTGCCACCGATGTTCCCTCTAAGCTGCGGAGTCTTGTGAGCAAAAATTCTACTTTGTGAGCTCCTGGCATTAAAGTTGTGAGTGAGGAATTTGGCTGCTGCATAAATTAGTTTGCTCTGGAGCCCTCCTTCCTGAGCTAAGACAAAAATGTGTGAGCCGGAGGCTAAAAAAACCTGTGAGCTAGCTCACACTAACTCAGCTTAGAGGGAACACTGGCTTGCCACCGCAGCTCAGGTTTCCTCCCAGTGTGACTGAAGGGGTAAGCAAGGAAATACTTTTAAACACTATATATTCATTTGAAAAGGCCTTTGAGCATCGATTCTGCCTGAAACATTGAAGAGATAGATAATATACCCCCTCCCCCCCCAAAAAAAAACACCCTGGTTACGCTATTACCATCAACAATAAATACAGCTAGTGTCATATCTTTATTAAAAACCTTTATCTTAATGATTTCAAGTTACACTCAATGCAACTCAAGCCCGTGGTAAGAGGGCAGTTGGAACCACCATAACAAATACGTATACACTATCTCGTTACCAAACAGCACTCATAATCATTTACACAATTTACAATAACAAAGAGTGCTGTCTTTTTTGTATCGTGGTGAAGTGCGCAGACTCTAATCTGGGAGAACCGAGTTTGATTCCCCACTCCTCCACTTGCACCTGCTGGATGACCTGGGGCAAGCCGTAGTTCTGATAAGAGCTGTCCTTGAAAAAGAGCAGTTTCTGTCAAGAGCTCTCTCAGCCCCACCTACCTCAAAGGGTGTCTGTTGTGGGAAGGGGAAGGAGTCTGTAAGCCGCTCTGAGACACCTTTGGGTAGTGAAGAGCGGGGTATAAATCCAATCTCTTTTTCTCCTTATCTATCTTATATGGGAAATTTTCCTATTACATTTTGATGTTGAAGAATTAAGCATGACCTCACTCACTGGCACTTTGTGGTTGGGTCTGCCTCTTGTGGCAGGGTGTCCTGGGGCCGGTGATGCTCTCTCAACCTAACCTACTTGCAGGGCTGTTGTCTGGGTAAAATGGAAGAAGAGGGATCCTTGTATACTGCCCTGAGCTCCGCAGAGGGGTAGAAACAAAAAAATGCATGAAATGGATAGATAACCATTGGGGGCTTTCTTTCTCTTTTATTCTAGATGACAGTGCACAACCTGTACCTCTTTGACCGCAATGGTGTCTGCCTGCATTATAGCGAGTGGAATCGGAAGAAGCAAGCTGGCATTTCCAAAGAGGAGGTGAGGCTCTGGCGGGGGAGGGGGGGTAGAGCTCAAGTTTGCTCTCTGAACGGGAATCCCCTCCATGTGCTGGCATTTATCCTGAGTCTTTGCTTAGCTGTGTTGCTTCCCATGGAAAGCAGACTGTGCAGCGAAAAAGCCTTTGCTTCGCCTGCAGAAGATTCCAGGTTCAATCCCTGATATCTCCAGGTAAAGGATCAGGCCAGTAGATGATGTATAAAACCGCTGCGTCCCTGAGACCCTGGAGAGCCGCTGCCAGTCTGAGTAGACAGTGCTGACACTGAGGGTCTGATTCAGTATAAGGCAGCTGGATGTTTTCAAGCTGAGCATTGGCACTGAGAGAAACTTCAGGGGCAGAGCCTTGGGGACTTTGCTGCCTGAAGATAGGGGCTCTGGGGCAAGTGATGCTCTGTCATCTCGCTGCTTGGGGGGGCCAACAGTGGGAGGGCTTCTAATGTCCTGGCCCCACTGGTGGACCTCCTGGTGGCCCCTGGTATTTCTGGCCACTGTGTGATACAGAGTGTTGGACTGGATGGGCCTTTGGCCTGATCCAACATTGGCATCTCTTATGTTCTTATTGACGTTTCACTATATATGGCTCTGTTGGCCTTGGGGGATTCTGCAGATTGCTCAGTTTCTTCCGTGCTAAGTTCTCAAAAGAAAAATGTGTTCTGTTCTGGTAAAAGTGAGCATGTTTAAGCAAATAGGCTCAGTGTTCTGCGAGAGATAAATTCAGATGCTAAGCTATACAATACATTAGTGAGTGGAGAGCAAAACAGGTTTTAAAGAAGTGCTTCATCAAATATTCCAGCTTCTTCAGTAACGGGTTTCTTTTTTCCAGCTCCCCCTTGATTCACACTTCCTTATTCAAAATCAAAAACTGGCAGTTACAGAAAAGGGTAGTAGTTAAAATTGTTTTAACTCTCTCGGTTTTATTTTCTCATTTATGCATATGAAATATGGCAGACCATTATTTCCTCCCGTCCAATGTCAGTTACCACACTTGGCCCCACCTCCATAATGCATCCTTTAGACTTGTCTATCGTTTCCAGGGCTATTTTTGGGCAGGAACGCACAGGAACGGAGTTCCGGCTGGCTCCCAAGTTGGCCACGCCCAGCAGGAACTCATTAGCATAATAGGCCACACCCAACAGCAGAAACTCATTAGGATTGGCTACATTAGAGGTGTGTGGCCTAACATGCAAAGGAGTTCCTGCTACAAAAAGGCCCTGGGTTTTGACAAGAAACAAGGTAAACAGAATAAGAAGCAAAAGGTGGGTGTGGCTGGATGAGCACACTTCTGGTAACATGGGGGTGCGGCCTAATATGCTATTGATTGTGGCCATAGGTTAGGGATAAATGAGTAACTGTAGCCGCTCAGAGACCCCTTAGGGGGTTAGAGCGGGGTAGTAAGTTGAAATAAATAAATAATGAGCTGTGCTGTCAGGGGTGTGGCCCAATATGCTAATGAGCTGTGCTGTCAGGGTGTGGCCTATTATGCTAATGAGTTCCTGCTGGGCTTTTTCTACAAAAGAGCCCTGATCGTTTCTATGCCTTCTTGAATTTTACAGTACCCACTCTACTTACGGTAATTAGTCTGATTTACTGTAGGATCATGTACTGTGTAAAATGATACCTTTTCTTGCACAGATTACAGTTGTTTGTATCTGTAAAGGTGATAAATGTTACAGAACGTTCTGTGTACCAGGCTAATTACTGTAACTCACTGCTCTGAGAACATGTTCTGCTTTGGTGTTTTCACTTTTGCTTGTACTGTAATCTTAAGTACAATAAAAATTGGAAATTTTAAAAAAAATTATGCATATGCAGAGAGAAGAAGATTCACACTATTTATTTAGAGAAGAGAGAAGAGATTGGATTTATACCCCGCCCTTCACTACCCAAGGGAGTCTCAGAGCGGCTTACAAACTCCTCTCCCTCCCCCTCCCCACAACAGACACCCTGTGAGGTGGGTGGGGCTGAGAGAGCTCTGACAGAAACTGCTCTTTTTCAAGGACAGCTGTGCCAGAGCTTGTGACTGACCCAAGGTCACATCAGCAGGTGCAAGTGGAGGAGTGGGGAATCAAACCCGGTTCTCCCAGATTAGAGTCCACGCACTTAACCACTACACCAAACTGACTCTCCGGGGTATATATTTATTCATTCATTCATCCAAATTTATACCCTGCCCTCCCCGCCAAGGCAGGCCCAGGGTGGCTTACACAGTAAAACATCGTAACAATAAATATCATAAACATTTAAAACAATATTACATTGATATTAAAGTGCTAGCAGTTGTCTTATAATATATAGATGGTGTTATGGATTCTGTAAATTAACTTGGTATTCAGCTCATTGGTCTTTCTCAGTATGATCGGCGAGCGCAGGCTATCAGTGATAAACCAGGCACCAGGTTTTTATTGTTAAGATAATGGTAGTAATGATGGTGATGGTGGTGGCGGCTCCTAGTTGAAGGCCTGGTGGAAGAGCTCCATCTTTCAGGCCCTGCGAAAAAGGTCCTGCAGGGCCCTGATCTCTTCTGGGAGCTCAATTCACCAGTGTGGAGCCGCCACCGAGAAAGCCCTGGCCCTGGTGACAACCAGCCTGGCGTCCTTGGGACCTGGTAGGGCCAATCGGTGTTGTGACCCTGACTGAAGTGCTCTCTGGGGTATATATGGGGAAAGGCAGTCCCTCAGGTATGTTGGACTCTGATGCTTCAGAATACACCAGAATATTCTTGCCAGATGTCAAAGACAGGTGTCCGTGGCCCAGTGGTGGAATATCTGCTCGGCATACAGAAGGTCCCAGTTTCCATCCCAGGCATTTCCGGTGAAAAGGACCAGGCAGCAGGTGATGTGAAAGACCTTTCTCTGCCTGAGACCCTGGAGAGCAGCTGTTGTTCTGAGTAGGCAATACTGACTTTGAGAACCAAGGGTCTGATTCAGTATAAGGCAGCTTCAGATGTAGTGATGTTTTAAGCTCCAGCACTTAAACTAGGCATTTCCAAAAATCAAAAAGGTTCGCCTGTCCTCTTGGGAAGGGGCTTATGCCACGCAGTGCCACCTCATAACTCCCGCCCTGGAAGAAAAGAGGCAAAGCAAGATATGTGAGCAAATGTCATACTTTGGATCTTTTAAAATTTTTAATAATTCCTAAAATACAAAATGCTTATGAATATACAGAAAATATAGACTATGTCTAAAAATACAATGCCTATCTAAATATAACTACCTAAACCCTATTTCAGCATTCCTCCCTAATCATAGAGAACCTTTCATTAGTGACTATCGATATTACTACTATTTTACTTGGGTGGGGTTTTTTTAAGCGTGGTTTTTCAAAAGAAGAATTTGTAACTGCTCTAGCAAGAAGCTAGAGCTGCGGTGGCTCAAGTGGTTAAGACGCTGAACTGCAGGCTGTGGAAGGTCAGTAGTTCAGCAGTTCGAGACCCGGGTGCCGCATGACGGAGTGAGCTCGCATCTCTAGTTCCAGCTCCTGCCAACCTAGCAGTTTGAAAGCAAGAAATTGCAAGTAGATAAATAGGTACCACTTTGGTGGGAAGGGAACAGCGTTCCTTGCGCCTTGGTGTTTAGTCATGCCGGCCACATGACAACGGAAACGTCTTCGGACAGCGCTGGCTCTTCGGCTTTGAAACGGAGATGAGCACCGCAGCCCTAGAGTCGGATTCGACTGGCTTTCGAGCAAAGGAACCTTTACCTTTACCTAGGAAGAAACGTTGCATTGAGCGTCATATTCCGACTGGCCACAGTGTGGCACCAGAGAGTGGCAAATGAGTCCTTGTTCTGGAAGTTCACCCTTTCTCCCTGTCCCCCCCTCCTCCCTCCCTCCCTCCCCCTTCCCCGGGGGGAGGACGACGACAATGGAGGGACACGCCGCCCGGCGACCGAGAGCTCCCCCTCCGGGACGCGCCGCGCCGCTCTCTCTCTCTCTCTCTCTCTCTCTCTCTCTCTCGGCTGCTTTTACCTGCAGGAGTACAAGCTGATGTACGGCATGCTCTTTTCCATTCGCTCTTTCGTCAGCAAGATGAGCCCGCTGGATATGTATCCTTTCTGCCTCGAGGACAGCAGAGTTGTGGTCTTATAAGGGGAGGGTGGGGAGGGAGTGGGCTTTGGTTTTCTGACATGAGCTGTTGATCCCTGGCCTGGATCTTCCAGGCCAGTCTGATCTCAGAAGCAAAACAAGGCCAGCCAGGGTTAGTGCTTGGACGGAGGCCGCCAAGGGAAGTCGGGGGTTGCTGTGCAGTGGCAGGCGATGCCAAACGACCTCTGAACATCTCTTGCCTTCAACACCCTCCGGGGTCTCCATAGGTCAGCTGCGACTCAGTGGCTCCTTCCCAGCACCGTGAGCTGATGAAGGCATTTCTGTCAAGGCCAGAAGCCTTTTAGGGAACTGCAGGGTGCGGGGAGAGAGGCTCGCCGACCCCTTTTGCTCTCCTTGACGGCCGCACCCCAGGAAGGACGGCTTCCTCGCCTTCCAGACGAGCAAGTACAAGCTCCACTATTACGAGACGCCCACCGGGCTCAAGGTGGTGATGAACACAGACCTCGGGGTGGGGAACATCCGGGACGTGCTGCACCAGATCTACAGCTACGTGAGTGGGGCAAGGTCCGTGGGTGGGGGCGGGCCCGAAAGAGCTCCCACTTTCAGGCACGCGTTCGGATTCAGGATACTGGGACTCAGGGGCGTCCGACAAAGCCGATGGGGCAGTAGGTTCGGGGCGGGCACAATGAAAGACAACTTTGAAATGTGGAATTCGCTGCCAGAGGATGCAGTGATGGCCACAGGAATAAAGGGCTTTCAAAGGGGATTACAGAGACTCATGGAGGATGTCTGTCAGTGGCCGCTAGCCATGGTGGCTGAGGGGAAACCCCATATTCTGAGGCACGAAGCCTCTGAATCTCAGAGCCAGGAGGCAACCTGAGGGGGAAGGTCTCGGCCTCTGTGTTGTTGGCCCTCCAGAGGAACTGGTTGGAAACTGTGTGTGACAGGAGGCTGGGATGGAGGGACCACTGGTCTTATCCAGCAGGGCTCTCCTAATGTTCTTAACATTAGGGGAAGGCCTCGGCCTCTCTGCCCTGTTCCTGCCCCTCCAGAGGAACTGGCTGGCCCCTGTGGGAGACGGGATGCTGGACTAGAGGAACCCCCCCTGGTCTGACCCAGCAGGGCTCTTCTGGTGTCCTTATCAGGGGAAGGCCTCGGCCTCTCTGCCCTGTTCCTGCCCCTCCAGAGGAACTGGCTGGCCCCTGTGGGAGACGGGATGCTGGACTAGAGGAACCCCCCCTGGTCTGACCCAGCAGGGCTCTTCTGGTGTCCTTATCAGGGGAAGGCCTCGGCCTCTCTGCCCTGTTCCTGCCCCTCCAGAGGAACTGGCTGGCCCCTGTGGGAGACGGGATGCTGGACTAGAGGAACCACTGCTGTGATCCAGCGGGGCTCTTCTGATGTTCTTATGAATGCTGGTGAATCAGGCAGTCAGAGATTTATTTATTAATTTTCTTCCGTTCTTTATAGTCCACCTTTCTGGATTGCAGATTAAGTTAAGAACAACACCCAGGATGGGACATCCAGTAAACAGTTTGGAGTGCAGTGGTGTTTGGATTGCAAAAAAATCTGGAACCAAGCAGAAATCTCAGAGCTGAAACCATGCATAAGCTTTTAAACATGATACGTTAAGTGGTTTGGAGCACACTTGCAGTGTTTGGCAGCAATAGTGTAGTAGAGGCCACCCTCCCTATCCTTTTAGCCATGCAACGCTCTGGGCCATTTCGTGACCGTACAGACCTCTTTGACCTGTGCAGAAAAGCCCTCGTGGATGATCCCGTTTTGCATAGTTGGCGGAAAAGTCAGGAGAGCAGGAGATTGTCATTTGACAGCCTGTCCTCTAGCCTCAGTGAAATATTCCCTGCGGTCAGGTCTGTCACTGCGCAGACAGCGACTTTCCCCTAAAAAAAACAACACCAATCATCCTGGTGTCCTTTGCTAGCAAGGACAGAAGCGAGGGCCGTTTGCTCAGCCTGCTAGCCAGCCTCGCAGCGGAGTCACCCTTCCTGACCTCTGTCCGTGACCCCAGGCGCCTCCCAAAGGGAACACCCTCAGCAGGCATTGCCTGGCACCCAAAGCCGAGGCTCTACGTGTCCACTTCAGAGGGGACAGCTGTCGGTATTCTCCTTCACGTGGCAGTGTGGGCAAGAGACACACCGCTCCTTTTGAGAGGGCGGGGGGCAGCACCCCCTTAGCAAGAATCAAACAAGCCCAGGATCTCCGTGGAGGTCAAAACGGCAGCACTCCTTCGGGAGGCAGATTCCGGTTCCCAGCTTTCTGGAGTAGCCAAAGAGGGTCCGGTGGGGTGCGGACTCTCATCTGGGAGAACCAGGTTTGATTCCCGACGCCTCCACATGCAGCTGCTGTGGTGACCTTGGGTCAGTCACAAGTTCTCTCAGAGCTGTTCTCTCAGGAGCCGTTTCTGTCAGAGCTCTCTCAGCCCCGCCTACCTCACAGGGTGTCTGTTGTGGGGAGGGGAAGGGAAAGGAGTTTGTAAGCTGATCTGAGACTCCCTTGGGTAGAGACTCCTCCTCTTCTTTGTTTTATTTATTTTTTATCTCACGGCTTGTTCTTCCGCCCGCTGTCCAGATCTACGTCGAGTACGTGGTCAAGAACCCCCTGTGCAGCTTGAACGAGCCGATCCAGAGCGAGCTCTTCTGCAGCAAGCTGGACTCCTTCGTCCGCAGCCTGCCTTTCTTCTCCGCTCGGGCCGGCTGAGACTTTGGCCCTTTGCGTTCCGAGGACCGCGTTTCCCATGATGCACGTGGACTGTTGTCAGACAGCGTACAGGACAGTGGCGCCTCTGGACCGTGCCTGGGCCAAGAAGTCCCATTTGGATAACTTTCAGTGGGAGGAGCCTCATGTTATTTCCCCCCCAAAAAATGCTCTGGAGCTCCCAAAGCAGATTTTTTTTGGCTCAGTATCTGCTCTCTTTGTGATCCGGACAGCCACTCTTCATTTGCTGGGCTGTTTCTCCCCTTCTTACCCACAGTCCTTTGCCAGCCCAGACTCTTTCTGTTTCTGAAGGTTTTCTTCTTTGCCGCTTCCCCCCCCCCAAAAGAAACCCCTTCTATTCATAGCCCATTCCTTCTGCTTTCCAGTTCACCGCTCATCCATCCTGGCCACGACATCTCATGCCCCCGGGGCTACTTGGACACAAAGGGACGCAGCACCTACAGGCCCAACGGAGCTCACAACAAGATGGTTGAGCAGTCGGTCGTCTGATTTCCAACACGGGGGAAGGGGCCTGGCGAGCTCCAGAAGTTTGGAAATGATCCTCACCTCCCCCCCCACACACACACACACACCGGCTTGCATGAATTAAAACGGCAGCGGTGCATCTGGAATCTTCAAGCGACCTCCGATTGGCCTTGCATAATCGCGGTCTCCCGTGGGGATTGGAGGGAGAGGGTGTCACTACGGATTTGCCAAGCTTTACTGGGCAGCCAGCTGAGCTTCCCCCCTCCCCCCCAGTTGTCGTGGCCTAGAGGCCTCTCCTGGCTTGCAAAGACGGAGCACCTTGGTCATCCCCCCGCCCCCCCCCCCCACGTCCCTGAGCAGTCCTTGGGCTGAGAGATGCACGGTAGATCCAAGTTGTATCCATACCAGTAAACCAGAAACCCAAAGCTGGTATGATGGTGACTCTTTCTTTCTTTCTTTCCTCTCTTTCTTTCCTCTCTTTCTTTCCTCTCTTTCTTTCTTTCCTCTCTTTCTCTCTTTCTCTCTTTCCTCTTTCTTCTCTTTCTTCTCTTTCTTCTCTTTCTTCTCTTTCTCTCTTTCTTTCTTTCTTTCCTCTCTTTCCTCTCTTTCCTCTCTTTCTTTCTTCTCTTTCTTCTCTTTCTCTCTCTCTCTTCTCTCTCTCTCTTTCTCTCTCTCCCTCTCTCTCTTTCTCTCTCTCTCTTTCTCCCCCCTTCCTCTGCATAAATGTAAAATACGAGTCTCAAGCTTTTACACAGTAGGAGTCTCTTCCTGGGGCTGCATCAAAGGAGGGGAAGCGCAAGCGTGCATCGGCTGGCCCCCGCAGGCCTCCACCTAAGTGCCCGCATTAACCGCCGTCCTTTGTTCGGAATCACCTGGCCCGTGGCTGGGGGAGCCTTTTGTGCAAGTACATTTTTGTCCCCGGCCTCTTAAGCTGCCGGAAAGAGTTGCGTGCCAGACAGCAAGCTGGCTTCCATGGCGTGGCCTCCTTTGGAAGACCGGTGTGCAGTTCTGGCCGCCGTCTCTCCAAAAGGGCACTGCAGAGGTGGGAAATGTACACAGGAGGGCGGCCGAGATGAAGGGCTGAAAAGTCTCTGGGACTTCTCAGTTTAGAAAAGAGACAACTGTGATAGAGGTTTATAAAATGAGGCACGGAGTGGAGAGCGTCGACAAAGAGAACTTTCGGTCCCTCTCCCCAAATACTAGATCTCAAGGGCATCCAATGAAGTCGCTTCAGGAGGGACAAAAGAAGCGACTGCTTTACACAGAGAGTGATTAAAAATGTGGAATTCGCTGCCAGAGGATGCAGTGATGGCCACAGGAATAAACAGCTTTCAGAGGGGATTAGGCAGATTTAGGGAGGATACGTCTGTCCACGGCTACTAGTTTGGTGTCGTGGTTAAGTAAAAAGGTAAAGGTTCCCTTGCTCGAAAGCCAGTCGAATCTGACTCTAGGGTTGCGGTGTTCATCTCCGTTTCCAAGCCGAAGAGCCAGCGCTGTCCGAAGACGTTTCCGTGGTCATGTGGCCGGAATGACTAAACACCAAGGCGCACAGAACGCTGTGACCTTCCCACTGAAGTGGTACCTATTTATCTACTTGCAATATCTTGCTTTCGAACTGCTAGGTTGGCAGGAGCTGGAACCAGAGATGGGCGCCTCACTCCGTCATGTGGCACACTCGGGTCTCAAACTGCTGAACTACCGACCTTCCACAGCCTGCAGTTCAGCGTCTTAACCACTTGAGCCACCGCAGCTCCTCGTGGTTAAGTGCATGGACTCTAATCTGGGAGAACCGGGTTTGAGTCCCCACTCCTCCACTTGCACCTGCTGGATGACCTTGGGCAAGCCAAAGTTCTGGTCAGTTCTCTGAAGGACAGTTCTGTCAGAGCTCTCTCAGCCCCGCCTACCTCACAGGGTGTCTGTTGTGGGGAGGGGAAGGGAAAGGAGTTTGTGAGCCGCTCTGAGACTCCGAGGGAAGGGCGAGGTACAAATCCAATCTTCTTCCATGGTAACTGAGGGGAACCTCCACGTTCAGAAGCACTAAGCCTCTGAATCCCAGAGCCAGGAGGCCTCCGCCTATGTGCCCTGCTGTTGGCCCTCCAGAGGACCTGGTTGGCCACTGTGTGAGACAGGAGGCTGGACTAGATGTACCCTCACTGGTCTGATCCAGCAGGGCTCTTCTGATGTTCATATGAAGACCTCGGCCTCTCTGCCCTGTTGTTGGCCCTCTAGAGAAACTGGTTGGCCTCTGTGTGGGACAGGATGCTGGACTAGATGGACCTTCACTGGTCTGATCCAACAGGGCTCTTCTTGGGTTCTTATCAGGGGAAGGCCTCGGCCTCTCTGCCCTGTTGTTGGCCCTCCAGAGGAACTGTGAGACAGGATGCTGGACTAGAGGGACCCTCCCTGGTCTGATCCAGCGGGGCTCTTCCTGCGTTCCAGCTTTGAAAATTTCCAGGTAGACTGGGAAGTAAGCTGCATTTTTGCTCATCCTCTATGTTGTGCTGGGTTTGGCGTCACTTGAAAGGTGCCTGCCTCCCAGTAGCCTAGAAGGGTGCCCGGTTAGACCTGATGACCTGGCCAAAGGGACAAGGCTGTGGGAGCGGGGCTGGCCAATTATGCATGAAATCTGACGGTGGTCGCTTCTCCCTCCATTACAACTGCCACTTGTAGGTGCTGCAGTGTGAGCCAGAGGGAAAGTAGTGAACATCCACACAATGGCCGTGATCACACGGGCAGTTTGGCCGGACACAGGCACTCCTCCCCTCCGGATCAAATGGGCGCAGTCAGACAGACGCATCCATCAGGCGTTCCCCAGCCGTACTTTATCCCGTCACAGGACGACTTGGAGCCGGGTTAAAAAGCCACCCCATCACAAGTGGTGTTTTCGGTTCCCCATGCAGTCATCGCATGTGGCCATATGTCTGAACACGGGGCAGCGCATGCAGAACGGATTTGGCAGTCTGAACCCGCAGATCTGTTCTGCCGCTAGGGAGGTGTCTTTTTTTAAAAAAATCACCTATATGTGCACATGCGTGCACATGTGCTCCTATGCGCACGCATGAATTCTGGAATCTTTTTGGCAGTGTGCTCCGTGGCTGAGGAGCTGCAATAACCCGCAGCAGGGTGTGCTGTGTGGTTGATGTGCCCCACAACACTTTAAATTGGTTCAAATGGAGGCAGCACCATATCGCGCCAAGCCGCCAGTGTGGACACGGCCATTAACTGTCCTGATAGCCCAGGTTTCCTGGTGGCCCCTGCCTTTTACTGAATCAGACCATCGGTCCATCGAAGTCAGGACTGTCTCCTCAGAAGGACAGCGGCTCTCCAAGGTCCCAGGCACAGAGGTCTTTCCCATCACCTCCTGCCTGGTCCCTTGAACTGGAGATGCCGGGGATTGAACCTGGGACCTCCTGCATGCCAAGCAAATGCTCTCGCACCGAACCAAGGTCCCACCTGTCGGACAGCTGCATCCACTCACTTGTGAGACATCCTGGACTGGATTCTCTTGGGTGGAAGAGTTGGGTGGTGGCCAGTCCAGAGAGCCAGTTTGGTGTAGTGCTTAAGTGCGCGGACTCTACTCTGGGAGAACCGGGTTTGATTCCCCACTCCTACATTTGCACCTGCTGGATGACCTTGGGCAAGCCACAGTTCTGACGAGCTGTTCTTGAAAAAAGAGCAGTTTCTGTCAAGAGCTCTCTCAGCCCCACCTACCTCACAGGGTGTCTGTTGTGGAAAGGGAAAGGGAGTTTGTAAGCCACTCTGAGTGAAGAGCTGGGTACAAATCCAATCTCTTCTTTTTCTTATAGTGGCAAATTGAGCTGAATGGTCACATTTAGTATTCTGCGGTCAACTTCATGTTGCAGAGAGAAGAAGGAAATACGCCAAGAAGGCCAGCGCCCTCGGGACCTATGTCTCCCCCTGCTGTCTTTCTGTTGCGTGATTAAGTAGCAGCTGCAGCCCAAGGTGGGGGGGAAGATGTTTTGGGGAGGAGCCATAGCTCATAGAGCATCTTTTTTGGCTGGCAGAAAGTCCCAGGTAAAGAAGAAGAAGAGATTGGATTTATACCCCGCCCTTCACTCAGAGTCTCAGAGCGGCTTACAAACTCCTCTCCCTTCCCCTCCCCACAGCAGACACCCTCTAAGGTAGGTGGCACTGAGAGAGCTCTGACAGAAACTGCTCTTGTTCAAGGACAGCTGTGCCAGAGCTACAGCTTGCCCAAGGTCATCCAGCAGCTGCAAGTGGAGGAGAGGGGAATCAAACCCGGTCCTCCCAGATTAGAGTCTGCGCACTTAACCACTATGCCAAACTGGCTCTCAAAGGATCCTACACTAGGTGACACAAAAGACCTCTGCCTGAGGCCCTGGGTGAGCCCCTGCCTGTCTGAGTAGACAATACCCTGATGGACCAAGGATACGTGCAGAGATGCGCTGTGTTTCAGTGGTAGAGCATCTGACTGGCCTGCCGCAGGTCCTCCCGGGTTCAATCCCCGGCATCTCCAGTCAAAGAATTTGGCAGTGCATGACGTGAGAGACCGCTCGCCTTGACGGACCAAGGGTCTGATTTAGTATAAGGCGGCTTCCAGTGTTCATGCAGAAGGTTCCAGATTCGATTGCCATTTGCAGGAAGTCTCGGAGCTGTTGCTGGTCAGAGCGGGCCGTACTGAGCTGCACGGACCAGTGGTCCGGCCTGCTACGAGACAGCTTCTTACAAAGTCATAGTTCTCTCAGAGCTGTTCTGGGAAAAGGGCAGTTTCTGTTAGAGCTCTCTCAGCCCCGCCTACCTCACCCGGTGTCTGTTGTGGGGAGGGGAAGGGAAGAAGAAGAGGAGAGAGAAGAAGAGATTGGATTTCTACCCCGCCCTTCACTCCCCAAAGGAGTCTCAGAGCGGCTCACAAAGTCCTTTCCCTTCCCCACCCCACAACAGACACCCTGTGGGGTAGGTGGGGCTGAGAGAGCTCTTTCGAGGACTGCTCGTGAGAGAACAGTTCCGAGGGAACTCGTGACTGACCCAAGGTCACCCCAGCAGCTGCATGTGGAGGAGTGGGGAATCAAACCCGGTTCTCCCAGATTAGAGTCCTCGCACTTAACCACTACACCGAACCGGTGTAGCTTGTAAGCCGCTCTGAGACTCCCTCAGGTAGTGAAGGGCGGCGTATAAATCCAATCTCTTCTTCTTCTTCACCCCAAGGGCCATCCCTGGTAGTTCTGATCCACCCAGGGCAGAAACAGCAGGCAGGTCGCCCCACAGGGCTGCCTGCCTGCCTGCCTGAGCTCCATCCATCCACTCCCCGAGAGGAGGCCTCTCCCCAGCCAGCGTCTGCACTGAAGAGCGGAGCGGAGGGTTACGCGCTCCCCAGCGAGCCAGCTGCCAGGTGGCTCCCGCTAAAAGGCAGAGCGCCTGCCCTCCATGCTGGGCT